CAGTTTTTGGCCAGGGGCTGGGTTTGAACCTGCCACCTCTGACATATGGGGCCAGTGCCCTACTCCTTTCCCACCCGGGTGACAGTTTATACCCAGATTTTTCTCTGGTATCAACCCTCATGGGGTATCTTTGGCTCAGGGTCATTTTGTGGACCTTTGACAATAAACAGAATTGACATTTTTTAGGAGTGGAGAATGCTATGTAGGAAGATCCTTGCCCATTTTTTAGATGTCTGAAAAGAATTAAGTGGCAAATATAGGTTTTAATATGCCTGCCCAACAAACTATATATATTAATGGTTTCCAAGTATAACATTCTGGGGACCAGTGCTGGGCTGGTGTTTTAGTGGTATAAGGCAAAAAATAAAGACAATATGGTCTTATGTGTCTATATGCGTCTCTACATCTGTTACAAGGTTATCAGCGATCCTATCTCAGAAAAGACTGCCTTGATGCTGCTATTTTAGCCTTCTAAAATTTGGAGGTATAAAATAATTTTTTTGGAACTTCTGGTAAGAATAGAAATTAGCAAAATAAATAGTTAGCAACCCTGTATTGGTTCCCCACCCTTCTTTTTTTACATTTATTTATTGATAAAATCCTAAAGTCTTGCAACCATTGCAGGAAAATAAGGATGTAGTAGAGTGTAGTTTGAGTAATAGAAAGCTTCTGCTTATGCCTTTGAGCGCACTACGGTTATAGAAGCCTCTGAGTCTCCATTTCTCGAGGCATAAAATAGTAGTAATAATTGGATTTCTATGAGGAGCAGATGACGTGTTACTTGGTATCAAAGTGCTTACCCATAATAACAATCAGTAAATGGAGGCTGTCAAAATTAGATTGTGTGAAAGCACTTATAAACTCTAAAGAACCATACAAATATCAGGTGCTATTATTAGCTGGGATTTAAATTGAAAATGCGTGTGTTATCAAAGTGGCAGTAAATCTTTCCCCACCCAGACCAAGTAAGCATTGCTAACGAAGCAGGCTTCTTGCTCCTGGGCAGGGATGAATCGTGACATAGGACTTAGTCCCACTTCAGTTACACTGAGTGCTCTCTTATCTAGCAGCTGCTGAGAATGAACTTTGAAGTAAGGTCTTTTTTGAAATTGCTTTGAAATTTGCGAAGATTGCTCAAGTATAGGGTTTCCTTTTTCTTTTCTTTTTCTTCACAGCCAAAGAAGCCTAAAGCCCCGGACAATCCATTTCATGGCATTGTTTCCAAGTGTTTTGAGCCTCATCTCTACGTGTATATTGAGTCCCAGGACAAGTGAGTGATGAACGTCTTGCTGTTTTCTGCCTGCATTTCTTGTCCCTCTGGTCATGATTAGGTCTTAGGAGGGCACAGCTCTTTCCAGAGGGTAAAGGGAGACTTGCCATGCCTGTGACCCTCCCCGGAAATCCATTGTAGATATTTTTATGTCTTTTGATTGTTATCATTCTGTGAATCTCAGAGGCCTGAGTTTGATTCTAATAAGATCCCTTGTAGATACCAGCATCCCCGTCCTATGTGGGGTGCTGAGTCCATATGTCAGCCCACAAAGCTTTATGTCAGGCTCTGGGTATTGTGAGAAAGCCTAATCTCTAGTATACATGTTTTCAAGTGTAGTTTATCTTTTCCTTTTGAAATAATTTAGGTTTACAAAACTGTTGCAAAAGTTAGACAAGAAATTTTCATATACCCTTCCACAGAGAATGTTAACATCTTATGGAACCACAGTTGTCAAAATCAGGAAGGTAATATTGTCTCTTTATGTCCTCCGTGATAATCATGTATTTAGATATCTGACCTTTGTTCTCCTTTAATCCTGAATTAAAGGATGTGTTCCTCATCTTTCCTTTGTCTTTCATGACGTTGAGATTTTTTTTTTTTTTTTTTGAGACAGAGTCTTACTTTGTTTCCCTTGGTAGAGTGCAGTGGCGTTATAGCTCACAGCAAGCTCAAACTCGGGGGCTCCAGCGATTCCCTTGTCTCAGCCTCCCGAGTAACTGGGGCTATGGGCACCTGCCACAAGGCCTGGCTATTTTTTAGAGGTAGGGTCTCGCACTTGCTCAGGTTGGTCTTGAACCTGCGAGCACAGGCCTGCCTCAGCCTCCCAGAGTGCTAGGATTACAGACATGAACCACTGCACCCAGTAAGATTTTTTTTTTTTGAGAGATAGGGTCTTTGTTTGAATATAGTAGCACAATCATACTTCATCATAGCCTCAAACTCCTGATCTCAACCAATCCTCCTTCCTAAGCCTCCTAAGTAGCTAGGACTGGAGCTGTATACCACCACACCACCTGGCTAATTAAAAAAATTATTATTATTTTTATAGATAGGGTTTTTCTGTGTTGCCCAGGAAGGTCTCAAACTCCTGGCTTCAGGTGATCCTCCTGCCTCAGCCTCCCAAAGTGCTGGGATTACAGACATGAGCCACTATGCCCAGCAACCTCAATACTTTTAAAGAATGTTGACCAGCTTTTTTTTTTTTTTTTTGAGACAAGGGTTTCACTATGTTGCCCAGTAGAGTGCGGTGGTGTCACAGCTCACAACAACCTCCAGACCTTGGGCTTAAGTGATTCTTTTGTCTCAGCCTCCCAAGTAGCTAGGACTACAGGCACCTGCCATAATGCCCGACTATTTTTTTGGTTATAGTTGTGATTGTTGTTCAGCAGGCCTGGGCTGGCTTTGAACCTGCCAGCTCTGGTGTATGTGGCTGGCACCCCAGCTGCTGAGCTACAGGCACCAAGCCAGCTATTTTGAACCCTCAATTTTGATTCATTTTTTCTTGGTTAAGTTCATTTTTTGGTGATAATACCATAAAAGTGACACTGTATCCTTCTCAGTGCATTGAGTCAGGAACCACATCATGTCAATTTGTCCCATTGATGCTGATAACTTTGATTACTTGCTTAAGGTGGTGTCTGCCAGCTTCCTCCCCTAGAAGTTACTATTTTTCTCTTTGCAATTAATCAGTATCTTTTTTTTTAATTAATCAGTATCTTGTGGACCGATACTTTCAGACTGTGTAAACATCCTGTTGCTCATATACTTTTGCCCACTCATTTAGCATCCCTTGATGATTTCTGCCTGAAGCAGTTATTTCTGTAGTGTTTGCCAAATGTTGTCTGTTTCCATCATTTCTTCTACATTCATTAATCGGAATTCCACTGTAAGGAAATTTTATTCTTCTCCCTCATTTGTTGGTTTATATCAGTATGGACTCACAGATTCTTATTTCATTTTATGGGTCATCCATTTAATATAGTATATGCTTTTCACAAACTCCCAGCTTCCACAGGTTTTTATAAAGCAGCCAATTATAGCCAAGTCTCTTCACACCCAAAGAGTGTGTTCACGGTTTAGTGCCCATTGTTTTTGTGAGGAGGTATTAGTGAAGAAGAAGACCCTTCCTTGTTCTTCAGTCTTTGTCTAAAGTACCTGTTGAAGGCCCATTCATATTGGAGGGCAGATTTGGAAAGGTTTCTGCTCAGGTTTCTGGAGCAGGCCAAGTGGACTGGAGACAGGCTGGGTTGGACTCTGGGAGGAGGAGGCCACAAAGCCTAAAGAACACAGTTAGGAGGGACCAGAAAGTGGCCCACAGGGAAGAACAACAGCGGGTGTGAGGAAGTTCTTGAGGGGAGTTCTCTGGGAAAGCATTTAGGTCCTGATTGCCCAGGTTTTTGTTATTGTTTTAATGCCATTAAAATCTGTTTAATGCCATTTAACAGATTCTTGTTCCCATTATATTTCAGGAGTAAACCAAAATATTAAGAGAATGTTTCAATTAGAAACACTACATGGCTCGGCGCCTGTGGCTCAAGCGGCTAAGGCGCCAGCCACATACACCTAAGGTGGCGGGTTCGAATCCCCAGCCCGGGCCCGAAACACAACAATGTGCTAGGATTACAGGTGTGAGCCACTGTGCCCCGCATTCTTTTGTAATTTTTCAGCAGAATTCAATTCTAAAGATTATGACTTGGCTCGG